GAGTGGTGAGATCTTATAAAGCTTTTAACTTAATGAATCTCTTTGCCATTTGGTGTGATTGTTGGTTTTAATCTTAAACATAGTTGAGTCTTGTGTCATGCATGAGATTTATATCAAAAACCCTTATTTTGACTCATTATGGATTCAAGACATGCATTGGACATGCATGTCTATAAAGCACAAACTTTAATGCGAGTTTTGGTGTTAGAAACCCTACAAGAATTGATGGGCTAAGAACTTTTTGGAATAAGTGCTTAATCAATGAATCTATATTGTTTAGCCTTTTTGGAACCTATGGTTTAAGATTTTGAACCTTTTGGGTGGTCTTAATGGATAATTTTGGAAACTTTATCCTTGTAGACCATGTTTCAGACCATATTTAAGCTTTGAAGTTCTTGGGGTTAAACAAAACAACTTAGTCTATTAAGCTTTTTGGTACCTAGTTTCCTTGATGTGGAATTAGGTTGTCACATTGTGGCTACTGGGGATGGTTCGACCATTGTCTTGATTTTGTTCCATGATGTGGCCAAAGATGGCCATGGAGTGGCAATCAGCTGAAGGGAGAAGTTTGAATGTTGACCTTGACCTTTGACCGTTGACTTTTGCCTTGAGTTGACCTTTGGAAAAAGTCTTACTTTTGGAAGAAGAGATAAGGGCTTACTTGGTAAAACTGTATAGGTGGTGTGTAGAATCTGTGTTTCTAGTAGTAAGATCTATAGCAGTTGAGTATCAACTAAGAGGTGAGTATCTTCATTGTATTCGTAGGTCGAAGGAACCAATGTCGGCCCACTAGATTATGTTTGTATGATGATAGTTGTGATTGTCACACTTTATGATATGCTTTTATATGCTTGTTCTCTTTGTGAATCTTGCTGATATGACTGTATGCTTAGATGTATGGAGTGGAATAGACCTATACTGGTTGAAATATAACAGAAGAGCTAGAATAGATGCCTTTATATGCCTGTTGTTTGAGCCTATAAAACTTCATGCTAGTATGGGTATCAGATATTGGATAGAATGGCATGTTTACATGATACACTGGTTTGAACTACTCGATGCTAAAATACTGCTTTATTTTTGCTTTTAGAGACCCCAATGATGCCAGTTAGCCATTAAGCGAATACGTTAAGTTACTTTTTATTGGTACTAAATAATTTTAGAAGGTTAGGTTCAACCCTATTGCAAACTCTTGTTTGAGTCCAACTGAAATAGAGTGGGACCTAACAATTGAAGAATTATCTAGTGTCAATTCCATGTAATGGTATTCATGAGGTAGGTAGAAGATATTGGAGGTAGTCTCTTCTGTAGCTGATGACGGAGAATGATGGGAAGGGAACCGTGGGAAACTTAGGAGATGTACTAGCTCATACGTCACTTTTTAGTGCAAATGAAGTAGTTGATAGTAGAGTGGTGACTTCGAGGATTTGAGGCGATCCTTGAGGAAGGTATGGATAGGTGTGGACGGTAGTATTATGCCCGTACTACTAAACTCACATGATTTGTACCCAAGTCAAGGAAAATCTTGATGATTCTAACAAAATTTTGGAGTATGAATGTATTCGTATGTAAACTAATTATATGTGTATTCTGTTTTAGTATGGTGATGACACGTTGTGGAGCAGGAGGTTTCTGGATCTGGGTCTAGTTTAGGAGATGCCATAAGACCAATTAATGAGGGACTATGTGAGTTCATCATGTTTGAGAATGCATGAGACCTTGATGTGACTCCGGTGAAGTTTGATACGTTCAAGGAGGGGATCATTGAGATGATGGAGGAGCACTTCCAAGCCTTTCAGGCCAAGATGTCTGTTGGACAATACGAAGCCTGTACCCTCACGTTCAGGGCTTTTCAGGGGTGTAGGGCACTAGACTTATTTAGAGTGAAAGAACCCATTGCAGCCAGGAGGTAGATAACGAAAATAGGGTGTGCCTAGATAACGAGCTTATTCCCCAAAAGGGTCGAATGTGAGGTTCGTTGCGAGCTATTTGAGGGAGTAAGCCCGAGATTGGCGGGAGAAGGTTGGATATGCTCTAGGCCACCAGCTTTTAAGTCCATGTATTGGCCTAACATTGTGACCCTATTTCAAGCAGAGTTTGCCCAATTTGTTGAGGTGCAACAACTGGAAAAGGAATTCTAGGACCTACGCCAGAAAACTGAGATTGTGGCGAAGATCAACCCCATGTTCCGAGAGAGATCATTATTGGTACCTCAATATGTCGTAGATAAGGAGATGAGGAAGATACGATACCACGACATGTTGAGAACAGACATTATAGAATTTGTTAGCTTTCCAACTCGTCAGAATTTGGAGGAAATGATAGCCAAAGCCTGAAACGGGAAATCTATTTGGAGCACCTTGGAAAAAGGAAGGCAGAGAAAGTGTTGACCACCGGGGGTTCAATAATGATTCCTAAGACTTTTAATTCTAGATTGATGGGCCAGCGATATCGAAGCCGATGTGGCAAGTGCAACAAGGTGCATGATGGGATTTATAGGGAGAGTGGTTCAAGTTGCTATAAGTACGATAAGACCGGTAACCTTGGCTGAGATTGTACTACCCCCACCCAGGTATCAAGACTGATTTTCTTTCATTGCAATCAAAGGATCCATAAGAAGGCCGATTGTTCGAGTTTGGCAGTACGAGTGGTAACAACACCCGCTCTAGTGACATTGAGAATCAATGACAGCTGCCAAGGTAAGGTGGAGGCATCGGTGATGAGCATTCGAGCTTTCCATCTGATAGTTGAGGAGCCTCGTGCAACACAAGATGTGGTTACTATTATGTATCTTCTCCCTATCTTATTTTATTGTATATTTCTCTTTCTAAAGTGTATCTGGTTGTATAGGGACATTTTAGTAAACGATGTTTCGGCCTTGGTTCTTTTCGATTTGGTGCTACCCAATCATTCGTATCTCTTGCGCTCTGCAAGAGATTTGGTGACGCTCCTGGGGAGCTTGATTATCTGTTGGTGGTAGAGATCACCAAGGATTGTCAGGTGCGAGTTCTAATTACCACTGATGAAGCTTCATCTCAACTCTTGTTGAAGATTTAGAGTTCTAATTACCAAGTGTAACCCAATGTTTCAAAATACCCAGAAGAGTTACAAATGTCGATAGTATCTCTTAATCACTTTGTGCTTTCCACAGTGATGATTGCTTCTTTTTCTATGCCAATGACAAGGTTATCTTTGGCTGGTTACACTATTTTGTTCAAGAAAACTTCTAAGATTTTCACATTCCAACTCACGAATGAGAAGAAGTACAAGGTTTCCAAGAAATATCTATCCCGCATCATGAAAGTTCTCACTAATGGTCCATTTTATTAAATAAAAAATGATCAGGTTATACATATGTTCAACAAGATGGTTCATCAACCTAGCCTTACATAACTCACTCTGCTACGTAAGTCTGGTCTACCCCGTATCTGGAAGTTACTTTTTGGGATTTTCTTCGATGCCTCAGATGTTGAAGTGTTGGACTTGATAAGGCCAAATTGGAAGCCTATGCCCTAATTGTTGGGTTATACTATGATCTGAATGTGGACTATATTTCATAGCTATTGGAGGAGTTTGGCACTAGTATCTCTTATACTAAGGTTGTCAATGGAGTTTCGTGTGCTAGGTACTGGAGTCTTATTCTTCAGGATGTATATGTGAAGGAAGGGATTCTTGTTCCCTCTAATGCTCCAAAAGTAGAGTTTACTATCTATCAACATCCAAAGACTGTTGAAGATGACTCGACAATGTTTCCTTCTATTGCACGAATTACAGATATTGTGCTTCGAAAGGTGGATCCGATGAACCCTACTAATGTTACCTACCTTTCCACACTCAACCGTGATGTTGAAGTTGGGATTTTTCTTCCAAAGGGAATTGAAGGCCCTTAGAAACATGGGAAAAAGTCCAAAAACCCAACAAGGTTGAAAAACCTGCATCTGTACCTCAGGATGGAGAGAAGGAGGTCACGAAGCCTATCAAAGAACCTATTGTTCAGGAAGTTCCAAAAGAAACGGTGCCCACTAAAACAGGTGTTCTCAAGAGAACGAAGAATCCAGCTCATATACCTCGTCACTCACCAGAAAGGAGGCATATTCTCAAAGAAAGTCCTGAGTAGTCTCTTTCTTCATCTACAGGCGGTTCAATATCAAAAATCAAGAAGATTTGAAAACCCCTGATAAATCGAAGGGGCATGGTTATTCATTAAATACCTGATCTAGTTTCTTTGGCTTCGAAGAAACGAAGAGCCCATTCCATGGTAAAGAAGATCAAGAAGAAACAAAAGAAACTTCAAGATCCTCTTGATAAGGATGTGCTCGAAATAGAATTCGAAGATGATAGTGATCGGTCTCCAGTTCAAAATGATAACATTGGCTTCGATTCACCTCAACAGGACTCTTCGGTCAAGTCGACTTTTGAGGAGACTCGAAGTCTTAGTGGCTCTATGAAATCATCTAATGTGACACATTTACTAATTTGGGTGATTCTTTAAATACTTCCATCCCTGAGCAGACTAAAGTCATACGGCCCGGAGTTTCAATGGCCGAATCAGTTTCTATGGAGGTTTGAACTTTAGGCATCCCTATGAACATATCTAGTATGGACACAAATGTCAATATGGGGATGGGATGTCAACTTCCGAAGCTCAAGGTAACTCTTCGATTCAAATTTCATCTATTCATGTTTCTATTATCTTATCATCTGCCACTGAAACCTCCAATACCGACACTTGAACTTCACTACCACCATTTATAAAACCTACTCCCACTTCATTACCTTTTTCAACTATATCACCTACTTTTTCCAACAGTATGGAACAAACCATCACTTCTCTTTTTCCTTAACAATCAACCGAAGGAGAAAAATCAATTCCATATGACAGACAAGATGATGACGATGTTATGATATATTTTGATGATATCCAATTTGATCCAGAGGAGGTAAATATTCCAGATCATATGCTTATGTCTGGTAAGCAGTTCAAGATCTTGAAATAAAACATGAATTCTTTACTACAGCTTCAGGCTGATATTGGGAGTAGATATACTGTGTCTGGCATTGAATTTGATGTTTTACTGAAATCCCAAGAACATCGCTTGATAAAAATTATGGAAAAGATTGAAACGAAGCATGAAGAGCATTTGAAGCATCACGCTGATTCTTTTCAATATGAGGGTAAGGAATTGAGGGTCGTTGCTAAAGAAATTCATATTCTATTTTTAGAAGAGGTTAAGAAAGTAAAGGATGATGTTAATATCAAAGTTGAGGTGATCCAAATAGTGATGTCAAAAGAGATTGTTAAACTCAGTCAGAATTATTCTGATCTTCATACTAAGGTTGATGTAATTGTTGGTGCAGTTATGAAGGAAAGGGAATACTTCACTTCCTTTAGTACTTGGGTTGATACTAAGCATGATTCTGATTCGAATATGTTTGCCAAGATGGAAGAATTATTGGGGAGTGTAAAGGAATCCTTTTCAAAGCTTAATGTTTCTCTTTCCTCTTCAGTTTCTCAGGAGTCTCTTTCAAAGATGTTTTCTTTCTTATAAAACAATATTAAAGCTGAACTTGCTCCTCTTTTACGACTGGTGAATTTGATGCCAACAGATGCCCCACCTCTATCTCATGTGGTGCAAGGGGGAGAAAAGGGTATGGCTGGGGATCTTTGAAAAGAGCTGGTACTAGTTTATTAAAGGATTATGATAGTGGAAACATTATAGGGAAGGTAATAAGTGTACAAATTACAACTTCACTTCCTACTTCTTTGTTAAAAACCTCGACTACCATGACTTCGAAGCCTTTAACCAAGGGTGTTGTGGGATATTATGATTCATGTCGACGATGTATAATTCATCTGGTGGAAGTTCGATTTCTAAGCCACCATCTTCGAAGCAAGACAAAGATGATAAAAGAAAGGTTATTGAGCCTTCTATATAAGAAAAGAAGAAAGCTATAGAGGCTAAAATCGAAAGAAAAAGGCAAATACACAGTATAATTCATCAAACACAAAATGATCCTCTAGGGCATGAGAAGGGTGATCCAACAAAGCCATTTTATTACGAGACTATTGAAGATATAGTTTTTCAATGGGATCATGAATGATTTTGAGAATGTTCCTAAAAAGAGCTTTGATACAGAAAATACTGATTTCAATCAGTTGGATAAGTTTAAAGGCAAGGAAGAATACAAAAGATTGTAAGTCCCAAAATTACCTTGATGTATCAATCAGATCCACTTGATGGTGTAGAATCCCAATCAAGTGGACGATGCAAGATAGAATGGAGAAGAAGAAGAAGAAGAAGAAGAAGAAGAAGAAGAACTTGATGAATCTATGATGTATAGATGATAAGAATGAAGAACACTACATAAGATTCACACTTGTCTCTACTTTCTCTCTCTAGAACTTCAAGGTGCTCAATAATGGCTTCCATTTTTCATGTGGTCCCCTCCTTGGTTCAATGTTACCTAACACTGCAAATAACGCTCTATATATACCTATCGACTACACCCAAGCCCAAAATACAAAGGCTAGACCGAAAATACATGTGTTTTCGGTCCAAGATACAAATAAACCATTAATATTTTCGGCCCAAGTACAAAAACAATAAATTCTTAGAAAAGCAAAGTATAAACCATATTTTTTGACCAACAATCTCCCCCTTGGTTTATAGCTTTCTTTTCTTTTGATCCAACAATTAACTCCCCCTAGGTCTGTAACTTGCTTTTCTTGATAATCTTCGCTTGGTGCTTGGCTTCATCTTTTATCTTTGATTTCTTCACAATTTCAAGATGATCAAGTAAATATTCTATGTGAATGACTTCCTTTTGAAAGGATGGGCTTTTCTTTAAGATTTGACTTTGAACGCATGTTGGGTGTGGAGGCTTCTAGAAAAGATTCTTGAAAATCTGCACTTTCAGCTTGAGAATCTTGAGAGGGAATAACAGAGAGATTCAATCTTCTGGATCACTTCAACAGGTTCATAGATAGCAGCAAATTGATTGAGGAGTCTTCAATGCAATTTGTCACATAATCGTTAAGTACAGCTTCACCTTGCTTCTGTTGTTGAAAGATTCTATGTTGAAAGAAAAATCTTCATTCCTTGTTCCTTCGAATGAATATTCTTTGACAATCACGGATGAAGCCTTGTCTCATAAAAATCTCGATACAGTCTCCATGAGTCTCATCTACATTTGAATTAACTTTTCAAGACAAGGAAAATTTTGAGATAAAAACAAAACTAAAAGAAAAATTAGCACACAATATTTTTGGATTTTTCAAATTTTCTGAAAGAATAAAACAGAAACAAAAATATTTTTGGATTTTTGAATTTTCTAAAAAAGAAATAAAACAGAAATAACACTATTTTTGGATTTTAAAATTTTAAATTTTTTGTTTGATTTTAAAATTTTTAATTCTGCCCATTAAATTTGTGTATAGAGGATAATTGTGAACAATTTTAACAAAAACAAAAATAATAGCTAACTTTAAAACTTTTGGGATCAAAGTTTTCAGACAATTCAATATCGTTTATCAGCACACGCCTGCATTTTTCAAAACTGATAAAGTCTTTGACAGGAAGGTCACGCACAATATCGTTTTTAACAAGTCGATTCAGGTTCTTGGCGTTCGCATGGCTGAGATGGCGATGCCAAAGCATGGCATTGTTTTCAGAAACTTTAGAGAAGAGACATGTGACTTGTTCTGGGATATTATGATTCATGTTGATGATGTATGCATTTCCATCTCTCTTCGATTTCACCAAGATCCGTTCTTCAGGGATAATAATTCCAGGCTTAAATATGAGGTACTCTTTTTCAGTGAAGTGTGTTGAATAGCCTTTGTAAAAGATCTGTGAGACACTCAAGAGATTGTGCTTCAGCTCGGGAGGATAATTGACATTATCAAAGCCAAGCACTCCCTTTATGACAGCTCATTTCTGGGTGATCTTTCAGCCTTCTCCTCCCGCGAAGGAAACATAGCCCCCATTAAAATTTTGAATGTCATGCAGTTGGGAGATGTCTCCTGTCATGTGCCTGGAATAACCACTATCGACATACCAGGGTATGACGACATTCCTCCGTAGCTGTTCCTGGACGATGCGCATGATTAATTACATTTTGCAACCCATGTCATTGAAGCACTGGGTTTCCCCTTTTTAGCAACTAAATTTTGTTTTTCACTTTTTGAATTTGATTGATTACCAGATGCATATACAGACGACTGAGATGATTGGACATTTAAAATCTTGGGCATCCATTGGTATTTAGGTTTAGAAATATTTACATGTTATTTTGAAACATTTTTCTTTGGTTTTGATCGTTTGGATTTCGATCTTGGCTTAGCCACGTTTGGTTTCGTTAAAGTAGATGTTGTATTTTCATGTAAAACATATTTATTCTTTTCAAGCTCAGCCCATTTTCTGTCTTTATTGACATTCCAATTATTATCATGAGAACGAGATCTCAAGAATTTTCTAATGAGAAATCTTCCTCGTAACTCGTTCTCTCTTCTATTTGCATGAAAATGAACAAATGACCGATTTGGACAATTGCATGCAATATGACCAACAATTCCACAATTAAAGCATGTTTGTTTCTTAGCATAAAAACCGGTGTTGCTCTTTTCTGGTCTAGTGTTTTTATTGACCCCCTTACTCTTCGCACACATGCATGTGCAAGATTCAGGTTGTGTGATAGGTGTAGGTGGAGTTTTTTGTGTTAGTAACAGGAACATCGGATTTATCAAACACATCACCATAAATAACATCTAAATCATCAGACTTTGACACAAAATCATCACAAACCAAACCATTAGTCTTAGAGTTAGAAACTAAAGCATCATTGTTTAAAACAGAAACATCAGATTTTGAAACAAGATTATTATTATAACCACTCTCTTCAGAAGCCTGCTTTCCATGACTTAATGGTTAATCTGCATAGGAAGTAGAAATATTAGTATACTTTTCCAGGAACTAATATCCGACACATGTACAATAGGTTTTCCATACACAAGATGTTCCTCTTTGTCTATCTCTTCTTGGGTCATATGGATAACAGTGTAATTGTGATTAAATGGAGGAGGGACACTCTCATACCCTAGACCTACCTGTTTCTTGTCTTGCCATCTTATTTGTTTCTCTATCATGGTTGCAACTCTCTCACTTGACACATCAAACTTTTTGAAATTAAAATTAGCATTTTCAAATAAAAATTTTAATGTTTCAAGCTCGTCAGTAACAGTGGCAAGTTGTTTCTTGATAAAATTGTAGCTCTCACACTCGTTGCTGTACTCTTCCTGTAGTTCGTGCGACATATCCCACAAAGTAGCAGTCATTAGCCTTCGAGTTGAACATGGGGTTGGATTCTAAGTGAAGGAGGGTGCAAGGACATCCAAATATTTGGAAGTGAGCAACTGATGGCTTGTGATTGTATGGAAGTTCATATGGGGTCTTCATTTGGGATTTGTTGATCAAGACACGATTTTGGACATAGCAAGTAGTGTTGATCGTTGCGGACCAAAAGATGACCGGTAGTTTGGAATCACAGAGCATCGTCCTTGGATCGTCTATTAGAGTACGATTGCACCGTTCCACAACACCATTTTGCTGAGGAGTTCGATTAGCACTATACTGACGATGTATACCCTTGTCGGCAAAGAAATGATCCAGAACAACGTTCTTGAATTTTGTGCCATTATCAGTTCTAAGTGCCTTCACTCGTTCATTAATTCGGTTATCAATCATCATAATGAACTTCTTGATAAGATCAACGATCCCATTCTTGTTGGATAACAAGAAAACCCATGTGAACTGCAAGTAGTCATCTATCACAACCATACGATAAGAGATGTTGTTGATGCTAAGTACGTTGACCGGACCAAATAAATGTATGTGCAACAATTGAAGAATTTTGCTGATTGAGTTGAAAGTCTTTGGCAAGTGGGGCTTGCGATGATGTTTGCCTTGAGCACACGCGTTCCCAAATCTGGAACCAGCTACTGATCAAACACAAGAACAAGCAACAAATGCTTAGAAAAGAAAAGTATAAACCATATTTTTGAGCCAAAAAAGATTTAAGTTAATATTTCATGTAGTTATTGGGAAAAGAGAAGAGGATATCTGGTCATTCGTGAAAATAGTGAAATTTCTCAATATTTCGAAAATGTTTTGTTCGAAGGGGTGTTGCAGAATTATCGATTGCACCTAGTCAGAGCTAACAATGTTGCTTGTGATTTCTTAGTGGCAGATATTCCCTTAATGAACATGAATGACCTCATCAACGTTGCGAAGATTATAAGCTCTATGTATGTATCAAAACTAAAATTCAATAAAAAGGAATACTTCTTGATTGGATTTTCTCATATCAAGTTGTTCATAGACATTTATTATGATTGTCTAGCCTTGACTGCTGTGGAGTTTCATTTAGCAATGGGACATCAAGTTAAAGTACCTCAATCAATGTTAAAAGGTAAAAGAAATTTAAAGGATTTCGATGATGGGGAGATAGTTTTGAAGCCTTTGGGTGTGGTGTTTTTTGGGAAGAACAAGCA